ATAGCGAGGGCCCTGAGGTGGATATGTGCGGTTAGTCTGATGACAGTGGCCCCGAGGAGCTGGGTTGGAAGTCAGGCAAGACCTATTGGAGTGGGACAGATGGATCAGACAAAAGGTATAACGAAGGAGACCGAACCGGTGGGACCAAATATAAAACTGCGAACAGCTGGGAAGATTATAAGCAAAGGTTCGTAGAGACGTGGGACAGCGATAATGGGAGACAGGGACTGAGCGCGGCTAATCGGTTCTCGAAAGGCTAGCGGCCCCCTGTAACGAGTGAAAGGGATGACGCAAGATTCATGAGAAGATGCGAAGGCAAAGAAGGGCCACCTCAGAGGGACGAGCTCAATCGCGGTTCTGAAGGACACAGCTGGGAGGGCAAAGCACAACCAAGTGATGAGACTCAACGCATGGGCCTGCCCTGGATGGATAGGATCTCTGCGGTATCAAGGAGAGAGGAGTATAAGCGGGACCAAAGGTTGGGGAGGGAGGAGAAAAAGGGTAAGATGTTTCGAACACCATACATCCAGAAGAGAGCAACCATTCGAGGGGAACAACGGGCGTCAGAGACCCCGGGGTATGGAGAACACCTTCTCCCCAAGACCCAAGAGAATGGTAGTGACCAAGGGGACATCCGACGCAAATCCGAATGGCGACGGAGTTACCCGCTAACCAAAAGTGAAAGCGACCCCGAACGAGTAAGTGGAATCCAAAGAGTGGTGACAGAAAGGAAGAGAAACAGAAAAAGAAGAGAAGACGAGATTTACATGGATCCCAGAGCAGGAAGGAGAGAGGGTGAGCCAATAGGTAGACATCCGACACAGAGGGGTAGGTCCTCCATTATCCCGAGACATCAGCCTCGGAGAACAGGGCACCTGAGAACTGAACCCCACTCTAATGTGACTTCGGCCGTAAAACAACTGAGAGATTGGGCATTCAAATTTTCGGGAGCCAAGGGAAGTGACCCTGCGAAATTTTTAGACAATCTCAATGACTTTAGAGGTAGCTCGGATTTAATGGATAAACACATCTTAGGAGCACTACCTAGCGTCTTCTCCGACCATGCCACGCGCTGGTTTCGGGTCAAGAGACAGTCCCTGACGACCTTTAAAAATTTCGAGAGAGCGTTTGTCCTGCAGTTTAGGGGAGAGCTTGAGGAGGAGGATTCAAGACAAGACCTGTATGCTCGGACCCAAGGAAAAGGGGAGACAGTATCGGTGTTTTTGGCCAATTTTTAATATATTGTCTCCAAATTCAGACGTCCCCCGTCCATCCAAGAACAGGCAGATCAAGCCTACCGATATCTACTCCCAGAATATCGGCGGGCGATGCAAGATAAGGTGATCAGCATGCTCGAGGATGTTCAAGAGTTTGTTCAACGATGGGAGAGACAGAAGAACTTGAATGAAAGATACGTACCCCCTCCAGTTGCCAGCGCTCTGCATGTGACCGGAGCAGCGTACATAGCAGAGCGAACGCAGACCAATGTATTGGAGATACATGAGGTAAAGGAAACGGTCACCGGCAACGCGGAGGCGACTCCAGGGAAGAAGAAGAAACAGAATACGACAAAGTCGAGCGAAAAGGGGCAAGGAGATACTCAGGTACCTAATTCTGAAACGGCTACAGAAGCGACAGGGGTAACCCCGACTTTTGCGGTTGCTACGCAAAGAATAGCTGGGATAAATAGGATATCAGGAGGAAAGGGGAAGGAGTGGACGGGTAACCTGGCATGGAGGCAGCGACCGGGACAAAGCAATCTAGCTTCTACTATCCAAGAGAACACCCAGCCTCAGCTGGGGAAGTGTGGAGGAGGAGTTACCGAGAATACCTTTCACGGTGCCTGCTTCAAGTGCCAAACCGTAGGGCATCGGATGTCCGAGTGTCCTGATACACTATGCTTTGCCTGCGGTCAAAAGGGACATATAGCACATAAATGCCCCAGTAGACAGAACTCCACTGCTCGTTCTTGTATCTCCTGTAGGACGGTGGGGGTGACGATCGCTAATTGCCCCAGGTGCAAACACATACCAGAGACATTAAGAAACGAATTGGCGTGGGGTGCGAGGTGAAGACCCAACCACCTTCCGGTAGGGTACGTCTGGGGGAAAGAATGAAAAGTGTGCCAGAAGAGAAACTATCCAACCATAAAGGGGAGTTGTGAATTCCGGACCTAAGACTCCAGACTATTTATTAAGTATAAACTGAAACCTATTCCAAGAGCTGAGGGAACAAGGAAACTAGTGGAATCAAGGGGGGAGAGAGGGACACAGGCGAAAAGAGAGCAGAAGAAGTTGGGACCAGACAATAGGCAGGAATCTGGACAATAGGGGAAAGTAGGTACAGGACCATACGTACCTCCAACAACGACCCGAGGTTCAGAAGATCGAAGGAGAGCCCAGAGTGGCCGTTGCAGTCAGAGGTTAAGGCCTCACGTAAGTAACGTGTGACAAGGTATGATCTTATCTATTTATGTTTAATTGTAAACTATATGCTAAGGAAGCAGGGGCGTCGATGATACTGTACAGGCGTAAGAACATCCAGGGGATGTCTAGCCTAGGGGGGGAGAGTTTGTGACGTATCAAAATTTGCTTCACAATTTTGCACGTTACTGTCGACGCCCCTATTCTAAAACCAATTAGTGTTCTTAAGGGGATCCTCCCATAACCAAAATCTTCGTGTGTTTTAAAAACGACTAACGGTAAGCCAGAGAAGGAGACACACGCCTACACCAGAATTGTAGCCTGCGTACGAGTGAATGTGATGATGTAAGTGTTGAAGCGTCAGCACGTAAGCATTATCCGTAAGATAAGGTAGGGACCGGATAGGTAGGTCAAAAGATAGTCAGTTGACCTACCAAGCGACCAGTTGGGGACGGACGCGACTGATGAGTTCAGTGGGTGTGAGACCACCGAGCGCGAAGGTAGGAGAGAGTACGTGAAGCAAGAGAGCCGAGTCTACAGCGAGTATTAAGTGCGAGAGAGTGAGAGCGAGTGAGAGAGTAAGCGGGAAGAAGGACACCCGGAAAAATAAGCCTGATCCCGACCCATCCAGCCCTGAACGGCGGCCATCTTGAGACAAAGCGTCCTCCCGTGATGGCCTGAGCCAAGCCCGAGGTGAGAGGTGTACCAGACAGCAGGCGAGAGAGGTCCAGGCTCACACAGCGTCGACTTCCTGGACTGCAACCCTTGTCGCTCATGGTGGACTGGACTTACTGTAAGGAAGCATAGGATTCGCCAAGGTACAGTGTGTGGGTTACGTGGGGACGCAGGTGAGATCGTCAGCCATAGCGATAGACGAGAGAGAGAGAGAGAGAGAGAGAGAGAGTGGAAGAAAGGGCGCGTGAGACCGAGAGCAAGTGAGTAGTCGCGTAGTCGTGGTGTAAGGGCAGGACGGATCGAGAGCCGACGTCGGGATGCTGTGAGTTGTAAGGCGTGTTTGTGACCGTCTCCAGTCGCGACGGCAATCCACGCCCGGGACCTATAGATTACGCTGAGTGTGAGTGTGGGAGTGTGTTGGTACGGACAGGCAACCACGCCGAGGGGACCTGATCCCTGACCGAGAGTAGTGTGAGAGGGGAAGTGGGTGTAAAGGTGCGTGAGTGTGTGTGCGTGTGAGCGGACTAGTGGCTCTCCAAGCGCACCACTGGCGTTGTGGTGGCGATCGAGGGCCTGCGCCATAGCATCGAGACCGAGAGAAGGTACGGGAAGTTATTGTAGATAGCGATTGTGTTTATTTCAATAAATCTGTAAAATAAAGTCAACATCGCCTTTTGTGTTCATTTGCCCAATACGCGAATCCCCTTTTGAGACAGGTCCAGTGAAGGGGCGAAGAGGGAGAGTGTTGTCGAGCAGAGACGTACGAGAGAGAATTATAACGATATTTTCTCTCCAACGGTAAGTCACATTGGGAAATGTAAAATCTTCGTTATACTTCATTTGGCTCAATGAACAACAGTTACCTATAGTCACTTAAAATTTGAGCAGTTTTAAAAATCATAAACTTGATAGTGGTACCTTAGACTCAGAAGTCATGAAAGAACCAACTTAACAAACTTTTTCTTGACCCTGAACTTACTCAGCATTTGCTACAAAGCTCTCTCTCTACCTAGCTGTACATTAGTACAGATTATACAAAAGAAAACAAAAGAAAAAAATCTCAAATATAAGTTAAATGATAAGAAATTTAATTCATTTAAAAAACAGGTGTTATAAACTTATGGTGTTAAAAAATGTAAGGTTATTTGTAACTTTAAATAAAAACCGATTTCATTAAAGATATTAAAATAAAAGTCACTGTAAATTTGGGTTTTTAATGTAAAAAACATGACTGGATGCTTCTTATCATGCAGGTATTGAAAAAATAATGCAGGTATTGAAAAAATAACAGAGTTTACGTGAAACTTTGTACAAACGTGAGTAAATTGTCATAGTTACTGATTTTGTAGGTTTTAGACATGTTAATTTTATAGTACATCGCATTTCAAACTTACAAATATACTGACTGTTACAAAATATAAGCTTGTCACACAAGTACAAAATAATTTAAGAAAGTCAATCATTGAATTTTTCTAGCATGTATCACTTTTTGATGTTTTAACTTATAAGAATTTTTATTTGTGCTATATATACTTATTATTACTCTTCTTTTTCCTAACTGGGTTATCCACTTTTAAAGGAAGGTTGTATTCGTCTATTTTAAAACATTTGAGGACATATAATTTTTATACTATGCATGTAAAAATTACAATTCCTGATCTTAAACTTTATTAAGAATCTGTCAAACATGTACAAAAAAACATTACACAGTCACAAGTTCTTGATAAAATTTGCTGAAAAAAATCATACATTGATTCTTGTGAGATCCTGCGAAAAACTTCCTGTTTGATTTTAGCAGATTATGTGGTACAACCTGTTTTTACCATTTTTATTCTATGTTTGTAAAAGTACATGTGATAGTACTTAAATATGAATAATATAATAAAAAAATTTTATAAATACCTTCACTTAAAAGTGCAATTTTCTGTGGATTATTTTTAGCAACTGCATTGAACATTGATGGAATAGTTTCAGAGCTATTGTCTTTTTTTTTACCACGTAAGACTGATAGGGTTTGTAAATACTCCATCTGAAAACAGTGTACAAAAAAATCTTATATTTGATCAAGTTTTGAATTAAATTTTTAAAACAAAGTGAGACCTATATTATGTATTAAATATAGAATCCTAATTATGTAAGAGGCCAAAGGCAATGGTAGCCATAGAAATAGAAAAAAAGATTGCTCTTCATGTCATTGGTCATCAATCACATTTAGGATTTATCTGCTAGATATAATCATATAAGGCTTGTGCTTATACATGGTGATAATATAGTATATTACGTCACAAGGCCGTGAAGAGGCTGATGTACGGCCGCATGGAGTGTGTCGTCTATCAACCACCTTACGGCCGAGTGATGTATACGATTTTTCGTCGTACAGGAGAGTTTGTTCAATAGGTTGAGTTGGTCAACGCAGGAAAAAATGAATCACTTGGTGAATCGTGCGTTCCTCATAAGCATTGGTCCTATAAATCGAGGTCTTAATGAAGTGCAAACGAACGAACGATGGATAATCGAACGTGCTTAATGATTGGACAGACCGATCAACCACAAAACTTATGCATTATTCAATAGTGAATACTTGCTAAAAGAATACACTTTTTTTTAAGTTCCTTAAAGTACAGTAAAAAAGAACTTTTATTGAACGACACTTTAATCTTGGTTTTCCAGTTCATGCATTGAATGTGTGCTTTTTCATATAGAGTGCGAGACTTTCAAGGTAGTAGTCACGATTACCTACAATTAACTCTAAACTTGAAATAAAGTTTGTAAAAAAATGTACGTAGTGGTAATTTTAATTACACGTACACAAAAGACGAGAAACAGATCATATGGTAATCGATAAGTAAGAAAAAGTAAAAAATTGGGCAATGCTATAGTTAATATAAGCACGAACCGACTAGACACAACGAAAAAGATGGATAGCATCTGAAAATGTGAAAAGACAATGCGCAAACGCATATGCGTCTGGCCGTCAAAAAAAAAAAAAAAAACAACTACAACACACCACACATACATAGATGCACATATTCAGTATGGATCTCATACATATATAGATAGATAATCAGTGGTCGCTTGCCACTTTTGAGTTGTGAGCTTATATGACAAATGCAAAGAGCACTCGAAAAAACGAGTCCACGCATGCAATATCCGTTTTTATAATTTTGTCAATGTTATTAAAATCTTTAGAGGTAGCTTTGGACAGGTAGCAGCGTTGTGCAGAAGTGGTACCGGTTATAGCGTTACAGACTTATAGAACAGGTATAATAAAGTGTAAACAGCAGGTAGCTACTTTTTTTCATACATGGCTGCTCTGGGAGCCCCTCAGCAGTCCTTGTCGAATCGCCCGTGCCGTCTACGTATACACTAATACACCTTTTCTGTCAAAGACCCTACAGTGCAGTCAAATGAGAGAAATACAGTTCTAACTACTAAGAGTTCAATGCATTACATTTACATGTCCGGTAATGTCACGCCACGTGTTTCTCCCAAAAAATTAGTCTAACTATTCGTTGAGCACTTCTGAGCAGCCAGTTTTTAAATATATTATACTTGATACTATGCACTATCTATTCCTTGTCAATACGAGACCGAGACTCACGAAGACAGTTTTAAAACTCCATTGGAAAATCAATTTGAGAAAAAAAGAGTTCAACTTTTTAGGTTTAATTGTTGGAAAATTTAGATATTTTTTAACATACACTAAGCAATAAATGTACATAACATTATATTTTGCATACCCTCAGAAAGTAATTCCATATTGCAGAATTCAAATTGCGATAGATTTGTCCGTTTAACAGCACTTTGAAACAGGCAAGAATTTTCCGATGCGTACATTTGTTTGGTGCGTACCGAACAACGGCTAAATGTCGACTGCTGTCGAGGCGACCCTACAGCAGGTATATACCTGCCCGGTCTGGAATTTCATGCTAAGACTACCTATAAACCAGATCTAAACGTATACAGAAGAATGCACAAAACTCAAAAATTTGATTTTTGGCCAGCTTTTCTGGACTCTGTATCACTGTGGGACGTAAACAACAAACTTTACTGTCGGGGACGACGAAAATACACATGTAATCTATCTGCTAATGGGCTGCGGTTTTTCTGTTTTCTCTATATTATCTATTTTCTATTTGAGTTATAAAAAAACTTCGAAAGTTGAGCCCAAGTACATTTTAAAACTGACGTTGCATTCTTGAATTGGCATTGACGTTGTTAGTTTTGATATTTGAGTAGTTTTTAAACTTAGTAGTAAAGAAAATTGAGTCTGTTTAGTAAAGATTAAAAGGTTGGGATAGTTTTTATGTGCAAGGGATCTCATGAAAAGTAGTCTGCGTCAAGTAATACATTTATCAACCTAAAAATTCCATTCTCAGAGTGTTCCATTTCTTTTAGTGCCAGATAATTTTTTTATTATTATTTCATTAAATCTGACTTCCGATTATGTGTATGATTTTGTTTTACGAATCAACAATAATCTCAAAGAATTATTGTTCGTTTGAAAGCTTATTATTTGCTAAAATGAATAAAAAAACTTTATTCCAGTTCATGAAAAATAGTGTTACGTAAGATAAAAGTATTTCAGTTAGTGAAATAATTAGTCTCAGTGACGACCGCTCTATAATTAAATTTCGTGTCAGGACTTATACTTTCCTTCTTTTATTTGACAAGTTACAATAATATTGAGAATTTATTGTAATTTTTCTTTAAGTTAGTACTTTATTTATTTGCCTACATGTTTGACTCTTTGATCAGCAGTAATTTTACTCGTTTTAAGGCCCACTTTACCCTACGAGCCATCCCCCAAAAGATGGACCAGTGCATCTTTTACCGGGGCAGAGGAGTTTGGAGGTGCTTGTAGAAAGGCATGTAGAAAAGTGCTTGAAGAAAAGCGTGTACTTTTAGGAATAGAACTAAGCGCAAATGCGATTTTTGCAAACACGATAAATTTACTCCCAACTTAAACTTGATGGAGAACGCACTTGTCGTGAGCAAAAAACTCATTTTGAAGCCCTCGGAAAAAAACCAATGTACTCGATAACCTCATGAGTGGGAAATTTAAAGCAGAACAATTAAAAAGTCTAAAGCTGGAGTGAGAGTGATTCTGACTTGAAAATTAAAATCACCCGTACTTGGGGAAGCACTTTTTGTCCACCCAACACGTTTTATGTGAGTTCTCACTGATTACATCGAGGGCATGCGTGTCCATACAAACGAGCTTATATATGTTTTGGGATAGGCTTTGAAAGGGTCAGCACATAATTAGTGGCTATGTATTTCAGAAACGATAACGAATTTCCACATTTTCTTAATTGTTTTAATAAAAAGTATGGGGGTTAAGAGACTCAAAATAAAATACGCAAGGAGTTTGAATTTAGCTATTACCAAGCAGCGGAAAAGGTGTCGTGGACTGAAAATGTCAAATATTTGTATAATAAAGTCAGCCACTTTACTCATGGACCAAAGTTGTATACTGATTTGCAAATCACTTTGATGCTTAAGTCCAGCAGTTAATAATAATGTTCTAGGCTCATACAATTAGTGAGTTAACAAAAATGTAAGATTTATGGATATAATGGGGGCTTAAAGTCTCTTAAAGAAAATGAATTTTTTTTCGCATATTCGTTCTAAGACTCGCGATACATTTATGCCAAGTAAAAATGTACCTCACATTTTAAACAGAAAAAATAGTAGATTAGACGTCAACCATAGTAATAATAAAAGTTTTAATAATTGAGTTAGTCAGTTTCTTTGTTCTAGCAATTACTCTGATTTTTCTAACTTATCCGGAAAAGATTATTTTCACCCTTCTCTACATAACAATACGGGAGGTGTCTATGAAAGTTGGAAAGCTAGGCCATAGGTTAATGAGGTTAGTTTTGAAGTTTAGGACAACTAGAAAAGGTTGTGAGTCATATTTTTTCAATATTTACAACGCAGTTAAAATATTTTTATTCAAACACTGTTAGTTCCTTTAATGTGTCCTTTGAGGAGAAGTTGCTGAACCAAAGCCATTTCACGAAGAACAGTCTTCATGAGAAACATAATTTTATTTGTTGTTCAAAAATTAAAGCTATCATCAATGGCATTTCAGAAAGGGCATTAGTTGATACGGGTAGTCGAGTAACTTGCAATTCGGAAGAAGTTTTCAAGAAAAATCCAAGAAGTTTTCAGGAATGCTCACATTTCCCAACCATTAGAATGCTAGCTGCGTGACTCAAATCGATGTCGACTCAATGAGTCTTTTATCACAAAAGTTATTCTGTTCCCATGAATTTACGTGCCCAATTTGACGAGGAAATCAAACGAATGTAAGCGTTAAGCATCACAAAAAGTTTTAATACCCCATTCATAAATCTACTTTGACCGGTCATTAGGGGTGACTGCAGTGTAAGGATTTGCTTCGACGTGCGTGAAATAACAAAAGGCTCAAAGATGACCATGAGGGTATATTTGTTACGGATGACCTGTTTTAGTGCTGTCAAAACATTGGAGTTACGTTGAGTATTCATTTAACAGCCAGTTTTTGGCAGGTGCCCTTTAAACGTGTGTTGCAAAAATACACCGATTTTTTACATCATGCCATTTTTTTCCATGCCAAACTTTGAGTGGTCATCTTGAACGATGGATGTTGGCAATACAAAATTATGCCATTTAAATAATGCATGCAAGTAGATTAGATAATAAGGCCACAGATGCTTTAAGCCTCTTTTTTTTTAGCCTGTCGTAAGGCAAATTAAAAGATTGTCCATTTCCACAATTTTAAGCAGAAATCCCGATGGACATTTGTAAAGGGATTTTGAGAGTCTAGGCATACTTCAAGATACTGAGAAAAAAATTTAAGCCATTGAACACAGAATAGAAGTAGGGGTTCAAATAAACAATTGTAATATCAAGGCATGTCCAGTTCAAATACGTTTAATCTAACAATAAAGTGATCATTCCACCCAATGTTCTAAAAAATTTACTACATTAAGTCCACGAAATTTATGAGCATATTGGGGTTAAAAAGAGCTCTGAGATGATCCATGAAAGTTTGGGTTCTCCAAATCTTAGACATTACGGAGCTAGAATAGTTTGATTATGTGTAAGCTGCCAAATGGTCAAAGTTCCAACAGCACCCAGTTGGTTCGAAAGATGACTAATTATTCCCAATAGTCCTAATAATCTCCTTTTTATCAATTCTAATGGACTCTTACCAGTGGGTCTAGGGGCATCTGTTACGTATTGTCTACTGTTGTTTTTTCTAAATTTGTCGTGTTATAACCAATCACGTGAGCAACGATGGCCATCACGCTAAACCGACTAACAAATTGTTACATTCCTAATTATGGCAAACCAAGGCAAGTTTTAAGTGCTCAAGGAACGCAATTCGCATAAAAAAAATTAAAATTGGGACTTATGGAACTTGGGATCAAGCCAATTTTCTCCTCTTTTTGGCACCCCTACAGTAATACTGCGCAATGGGTTAACGAAGAACTTGGTTCTTTCTTTAAAACCCTCATTGTAAGCACCGTGGATGGGTGCAATAAGTTCCCATTATACAAAAAGTTATGAATGAAATATACGACGAGACTGTAAAATACACTTTTCAGGTACTTTTGATTTAGGAAACAGCTACCTTATTTCAATATAATAGGCCCTGGGATGAGATGGATAAAAATGGATTCAGTAATTTTTGTGTTTTGCTTCATTTTACCATTATTTCGCACTTTTCATTCGTACTGTCTGAATTTTATCCTAATAATTCGGTCTTCATATTTTCAATTCTTGTCTTCGTTTCTCTTCAGTCCTGGGTAGGGTATGAAAACTCTATTCAACCAGATCCAACAAATGTTGGAGCATGACAGTCCAACGGTCCATCGCTTTCTGAGATATGCGTCAAGGCGGCAAGCTAGGAAGATCCAACGATGCACGTACAAGACAGCACAGCGTAAGGTATACACTGAAAAAAATAATTGGTTGGAACTACTGTCAAAGATGGTAGATTTGACGGACTGTAGTTAGTAACTACTGTGGCCGTTAGGGGTACTGATCGTCCATGGTTATAGCAACAGATTAGCCGATAGTAGCTACTACAGCACAATAAAAGTTCAAGTAATAGACAGTTTTTATGTCTTTATTACGAAAAAAGTACGTTGTAATGATATGTTTGATAAATAATAAAAAATGGTCAATTACTTTAATATGTGGCAAGTATTCTAATTTTAGAACATTTAATATTAAAAAAACGCAAGTCTCAGACTATATTAGTTTATTAATTATGCGTAAAGTAAAAAATGAATGGATTGTCTACACGCATTTATTTCTAAAAAATTACAATTTATACTTAGGTGCAATGTATAAAAAGTTTTTTTCTGGTATTTTATGGATTAAACTGGCTTGATTAATTCAAAAACAAGTCCTCTGTCACTGCTCTATTATTAAAATAATACCATTATACACTTTGAATGCAATGAAAAAACTAGTCAAAAACATTTGAGGTGTTTGAATAAGTTATTAAATTATTAGAACAGTGGCAAAGAACATTTTTAAATTAATTATCTCAATTCAAGTTGTAGTACGAGGAAAAGAAAATCGAAGTTTGATGCAAAACTGCTCAAATTTTGAAAAAAAAAATTTAAACTTTTGGAGTTGTACGCATGGCAAGTACATTGGTACTGAGTATCATCAATTGCCAAATGTAATTCTATCTGTTTTCAATTCTTGTTTCTTATTGGTTGACAAGTATCATCATCATAACTAAATTGATACCCAATATAACAAAGGTATTGAAAACAGAATTACAAAATTTGACAATAGATTGCAGTGGTAAACTGACACTCCAACAATTCAAAATGTTTTGAAACTTTTATTTAACAACTTCCGCAGTTGTGCTTTAAACTTTGACTTCTTTTTTTCCTTTCATTTTGTAGATTAAACTGGCAATTTTTTGTTGATTCAATCGTCACTTGATTATTCTTTTTATGTAGGTATGGTAAATTGAATCAAATTTATAGGTTACATTTACATTTACATATAAACCGTTCCATGAACTGATCTAATTTGCACTCTTTCAGTTTTTGTGTAACAAAATCATCCATTGTTCAAATATATCACTGTAGAAACTTTGAAATAAACATATTGCTGCACCGTTTGAATGAGCTCCTCTTTCATTCAATTACTATTCCAAGTTGCATCGTAATATATATAGCTAATCAGTAGTATCAACAGACTAAAGGTAGTATGCATGGCTGCCTGTAGGACGGTAACAGCTATCAGAAGAAATACCGTCTAAGACAGTGGCGGCAACAAACATTTTGAGTAACATTTTTACGGAGAATCGTTCAGTAGTTCGAACTGATTAATTTTTTCAGTGTAGTGTGAAAAGGGAGAACGTCAAGCATATTGAATATTTCATGGACCATCCCGTCTTTTAACTGATCGCTTCGAAATGCTCACCATGAATGTTGACTCCAAGAACAGGAAAGGTGTCGAAAGGAGTGATTAAGACGAATGTCTTTTGATAATCGTATTGAGAAATTCCAATAAACTCAAATTATAAGGAATCTCTGTAGTGAAACACACATTTGTCTCTTTCTAGTATACTCTTCAATCCATATATCTACAATTTTGTTTAGTTTCATTTATCAGATGTCATCCAATTGTGATACAATATTAGTAGAATTAATTAATTCTGTTCAGGTCTTGATAAATTGAAAACAAGAGAGCAGCCAACATCGCGTTCTATAAATTCTAGAAAGAATTTGAACCGTTAGAAATGAAATGATCCAAGCTAAACAACAAACCCTGCAGTGAGAGAAATGGTGGCATGGTCAAGAGCATTAAGGAACACTCCATCACCAAGGAGATAACGATCATCCATCGTTCACTTGCAAATAATTAATTTCCAGGGTCGCTGCTCATAAAGATGCTTTGGAACAACTACCTATTTATCTCATAGTTTATAACGACATTCGTATTATACGTTAGTATTACACATTACGACGTTTGCATTATCTTCCAGTGGAACTGATTTTTCGCAAAAATTTTATAGTTTATGATAGATTTATTAAAAGTGACTAGAGACAAAATGCTAAGAACTTTTTTTCTAGTAAATAGTGATGTCAGACAGGACGGCGCGTGTGGCGCTCCCCTCAAAGCAGAGTTTAGTACTCTAGACTCATAAGCTATAGGCTGGTGCTGCTATGTACTATATGTACTACTTTATGTAATATACGCCCCATTAAAAATGTAAACTTGGCTACTGAGCTTGCAAGATTCGGCCAAGGTAGGCTACTACGGTTAAAAAAACATTAAATGTTGGGAATATTAAGCATGGCATGAGATTAGAACCAGCTAGGAAGCCAAGTTATATACATTCTGTCTTACTTCTTCTCATACGTATACATGTATGTAATGTTACATACGTATCATTATAAGCGTACTAAATATATAAATGTGTATTGAACCAGTGTAAATTCAGAGCAGCTCCTTTTTTTAAATGACAATCTAAACATAGAAAATTGTACAACTTTATAGATAATTATTATTACTAATTAACTTATTACTACTACTATTTCATACTCCAGGCGGTAACCTCTCTGAGGGAGTCCGCCAGCAGTTTCGATCTGGTGAAAGCCCGGATGACTGTCGCAGGCCCCACGGATTCTGGGGGGGGGGGGGAGGCCCACAAAGACATGTCTCATGGCCATCAGGGACTGCTTAATGTTTCATGGCCCTTTCTAACAGACAAAGGACGGAGAGAAAGTCTGTCGAGTATAGGTACCAATGACACCGAGGACGGAAATGTGTCAGTATTTAGCCACCAGACACAGGAGAAGCTTGCCTCTTTAGGAGAAAGTGGTGCTAAGCTCAGAGTAAAGCGACAGCAAGTGTCTGATAAAGTCGAATCAGCAACAAAAGATATTACAGAGACGCTACAATTAATAAACGATAAGTACGGCAACACAGCGAATGCTGTTAAGAATGGGCTCAAAGCCGCGCTTAAACACCTTCATAAGGCAGAGGTGCTA